GCTGAGAAAGAATTGGAAGGTTGAGCCAAAATGGGTGTCCCGACACTAAAGTATCCGTGGTTCCAAGTTAAGATCCAATACGCCGTAAAAGGGGATCGTGACATGAACGGCAAAACGAAAAAACACTCAGCCTTCTTCAGTCGCAGTGCGCTAGGCCAGATTTTCCCGGACAGTCACGGTGTCCTCACTCTCGACGAGGATTTGTGCTTTAATGACGATGTAGTTTTGGAAGAAGGCACGTCCATCCCAAAGCTGGATCTCGCTATTCTTCGGGCCTATATCCTGAACCAGGAGAACTATGGTAAACCTTCCAGCAGGGCTAGGAGCTCTCGCTCGCCCACAGTCCAGCGCTACAGCACGCCGGCGCTCAACGCAACCAGGGGCGATAAGGATAGCTCTGCCTCGGGAAAAGGGAAGAATGCAAAGACGGTCGCGTTCGCGGCGCCGGCGTCGCGTAACAGTAACCCTCTAGGTGCCGCTCAATCGGCCAAGCAGGCGGCCGACTATGCTGAGTTTCTTGCTTGGCGCGAAGCACGAGCTGCTGCGCAAGGTAGCCCATATATGCATGCAGATATGGTAGCAAACACGGCCGCGAAGATTGGCAAGCGAGCGTTTGTCAAGGAGGAGGAGGAAGAAGAACTGTAGAAGAAAGTCGCGTTTCCACGCATGTTCTGCGTACTCTTCTATTCTTCTTACTGAACCAACGACGACCACGCGGCGGCTTCGCATGGATCGCGCTACAATGCAGGTTTAAGTCGTAAAATAAAAGTAGTTTAGTAAATCTCCATAACAACAATTGATCAAGTTCCGTTGTCTCCAGCTCCGTCCGATTGTCATCTTGCTGAATTTTACACAGCCAGATTGTAGTGGACACCTGCCAGAAACCCATCAAGACAGTCGGGGGCGACATCACTTCACTCAATACCCTGCATCATGAACGGCCTACCACTAATCTAGTTACTGGCCAGTGAGGGATCCCAGTCGTGCGCTTCTTATCAGCTCGGCCGATGCAGCTACACATATTAAGTTAACTGTAGCACAATACAACATTGTGTCTCTATCATCTATGGTATCTTTGACATCTATGACGTTGCCGACGACAACCACCGTGACCGTGGCAATCCCCGAAAACGCTACGTTGCGGAGCATAGTAGTTACAAGACTTCTCGGAAAACTATTTTATCTTATGTAGGCTTTGGCTGAGTTTCGCACATAACTCCGGAAACCGACGCGACATTTCGGCACGGCGGCGACAATGAAAGGGATACAGACAGTTACTGATCGAGTGTCCAAAAACACGACGGACTGGGCATCAAACAGCCTCGGCTGTTGATGTACCGCTGCCCCCGATCGAATCTCACCGAGCAAGACGCATTTGCTCGCTTCTGCATTGGCTTGGCCGTTTTATTCATATAACAATCTAGCATGGTACGAAATCGTGTCAATATCGTACGCAGTAGCGTCTATGGCAATCGCTAACACGGTGTTGATCCCCGAAGCCGCTGCGCTGTGGAGGCAGTCTTCCGGAGCGATGAAACCTATCACGCCATCTGCACTGATGGCGGCCAGAAAGTGGCTGCCACAGAGACCTTTCGCCTCTCTCTGAACGTTTTCTTTGTTTGGCGATTCCACTCGGCCCAGAACGCGCCACTTTGACTTTCGGAGCTCCATGAATACAACATCATGCGGTTGTTGTTGAAAAGTGATGGG